CAGAGGGTTGCGCGCGCATGGGACAAATCGCACTCTCGCCTGCATTTGGTGCACTCGACACGCACGATCTCCGCAGAGGGTTGCGCGTCAAGTCTCCAAAACGAGCGTTTCGTACGAGACTTCCTCAAAAACTCACACGTCAAAGTCTGCAAAACGAGCGTTTCGTACGAGACTTCCTCCAAAAGTCAAGCGGAAACACCCATCGGAGCACACACATCACGCAGCCCTGCCAAGCAGTTTCGCGATTCCAGCCCCTCCAAACAACATCCGCTCACACGCCAATCCCAATAAGACAGCGACATTCACCTCTACCACAACTCACAACCTCACGATTCCCTGCGCCTGCCACGAGTCTTCCCCATCCACACGTCTAACGCGCACAAAGTACTGCGCCTGCCACGAAATGTCACCTCCCTCACACCTCGCAACCTCACGATTCCCTGCGCCTGCCACGAGAATTGCACTTCCACGCTTCAAAGCCCGCACGAAGTCCTGCGCCTGCCACGAAAAGTGACAATATCATCGCATGTGAGCTTCAACAAAATTTGCACCACACCACACGTTTGGAATGATTTCGACCCGTTCAGAGCACACTCCCATCCATCAAAATCGCCATTTCAGCTGAGACTTGTCACGAAAGCAGAGCTTCGATGCCACGCCCTGAAACGCAAATCCCAATGGCACGGCCACATCCAACACCCCAAAAACACGACTCTCCAAACGCTAATCCCAATGGAACTGTGCCGTAACCTGCGGATCTCACAAAACGCTGCGCCTGTGCAGCGAAGTGCATCACGTTTCTTGCGCGACATGTCCGTGTCACACAAATCACAATGGAATAGCGGCGCAAACTGACACGTGACACATCCATGCAAAGTCACTTGCAAAAGCTTCCCCCAATGGCAGCAAATTTGAGACGCGACGACGACGACAGACGACGACAGACGACGAGAGACGACGAGAGACGACGACAGACGACGAGAGACGACGACACGACGCAAGCCACGCGAACACAGCTCCAACCCCCAGACCCCCAACTATAAACGGGAACCCTTCGCTACGCATTCGGGAAAAATGACCCACGCTGATATCCTTCGCTGAGGCGCTGCAGTGATCAGGCGTCGGCCACGGTGAGGTGTGAAAGGCCTCATGTCTTGTTGGTCGGTTGGCCCAAAGACCTTCACAGCACCGCATCCTGCACATCATTAGCGGTTAGTTTTTAAGCACCGATTTTGTGAGGTTAGTCTTGGCAGTTCAGTCTCTGTGCGGACACATTGTAGCCGTTTGGTGGGGTGTGAATTTCTACCATGTGTCCGCACAAAGACTGGACTGCCAAGACTAACCTCACAAAATCCGATTGCGAGCTCTGAGCCAGTGACACGCCCACAAAAAGTCGTGGCCAGTGGGAGTTCTTATGCCTCCACGAAGCCTGAGGTCGGAGAGTGGAGCCTATTATTGATTGGTGCATCTGTCCAGTTTGGTGGCAGAAATGTCTGCTGAACACGTGAGGACTTCCATACCCCTGGCCCTTTGCGCTCTTAAGCGCCTCAATCCAGTCTGCTTCTTCGCAGAATTCGCCCTCACTGTGCTTCTTGAGGTAGAGCCTGAGCTGAGCCGCACTTGATGTGCTCAGGGGCTTTTGTAGTAACACTAAACTCCCACGTCCACCCTGTCCATGCAACAATTACTTATATATATATATAATCAATTAAGCATCATTCCTTATCATATGAATCAACATCTTTCAATTTGCAACACCTGCTTCAAAGCAAAAAAATGTGTTGGCCTTGTGAGCATCGGTGCCAAAAGAATCTTTTGCAAACATATTGGTACGACAAAGATCTGGCAAAATATCGTACCATCAGATCAGGAATGCTGTCCAAAGTTGGACTTCGGGCGAAAGGCTCGCATCATGTCTGTTGATTTGCGATGCCCAAGCTCGTCGCCCCCGTCTCCCCGGTCCATCCTTCGGCCGAAGACACGGCACGGCCCCCACCAGCTGCAAGCCCGACTCACCAGGGCGGCAAGCCTCGGACGTCCGAAGAAGTGGGTTAGTATGGGAAAGCATCAATGAGAGGGAATGGATGCAGTCGGTTCTCAACATTCTCCAATTGTACATCCTGAGGAGTTTTTTGTTTGTTTCTTCATCAAGGTGCTCGTTTCCTGATGCCAAGTATATACGCAGTTTGAAAAACGTGCCGACCCAAAGTCGCTCCCTTTTCTTTTGGATGCGCGAAGTGGCATGTGCGGTGCGGTTTCCTTGACGGTGGACTGTGGACAGCACATGGCAGCACAGTCGCACGCAACTGCAGCATGCAATCTTGGTGTGCTTCCACCGCTACCGAGTCATGGCCACGCAGGTCAGCGCGTTCACCTCCCAGTCACCGAGCTCAACACGTTCCTCCGCGTCAGAGTCGTGTGGCAGCCGGCACTACACGAACGTTCACTGTTTTGCTCAGCGCTCTGTAGCGCCGAGGCTCAGGAAGCCATCCCAGCATCATGACAGTGAAGTTCCTGTGTATCATGGCTTGCTTCTGCAGCTGTCACCCATGTGCGGCTGGCACGATGCGCCTTCGATTTGCCAAAACTCCTGGCAGAAAACAACATGGTTGGAAGCTAGGACGGTGGCACCCCGACATGCAATCCGGAGAGCAAGAAAGTGCTAGGGGCCAGCCTCTCCACGTGAGCTTCAACACAAAGGCCTCCCTGCATTCAAAGGATTATGGATAGAAGAATGATGACCTCTCTGGCTTCATAGTCACAAAATGAGAAGCCCGGTGCAGAAGGCCTTGAGCTTCGCAATGTCTTGCATCTTCCTGCTCTGGCCACCATTGGCACTCGAAAAGCCAAAGAGCTTGCTTAAGTGCGCAAACAGAAGGTACTGAGACAGGTTGATAGGGTGATGTAGGTTCAAAATGCAGATGATGCACCCATTTCAATCATGCATGACAAGCATCACTGGGAGATTGATAAAGCACGACGAAACCACGAACCACCCATCCCCGCTGAGTGGGTGCAAAATGAAAAATGCCCGGCCGCACCGTGTCTCGCGTCATTTCGGCTGCCTCACGGCCGTGTCTCCAGCGCTTGGGCAACTCGCCTCACACCGTGCCAGGAGCTCCCCTCGCCGCTCCCAGAGGCCGCTGAGCCCAGCTCCTGAGCACATCAGTAAGGGGTCCTCCGCCGGTGGAACCCCAAGCCCACAAGAATGCCCACCCAAGAAGCGTTTACAGGTGTGAACTTGCGAAATCACGGGTTTCACAGGCGTTTTTTGTTTCAGAGATGAGGGAACCATCTTCAATGTCTGCTGTGCTGTTGTCAATGTAGGTGTTCGTAGGATATCCAACGTCAGACCAACCCCACAGCCCGTCAAAGCAAGCACACGACCAACCAGGCAGTTTTCATTGCATTTTGGGTGATATGATCGCCTCGTATTTGGTCAAAAAAACCTTCTTCCCAAAATGCCCCCCTTCCATGAGAACAGATAACTCAGTCGTGTGCACAAAGGTCACGCCACGAATCGGTCGAGTGTGGCATTGGTGTGCACATAGTAAATCGCCTTGCTCAGGAGGAGCGGCACATCACACACCTTGGCCATCGACACCCGGCCGAACGTGGCCGGTGCTGGAAAAAACTGCAGTCTGGAGGCATGGAGCGGGCCACTGTCCTGAGCACATCTCTCATCCGCTGGGAATGCATGTTGCCGAACCGGGGGTTGGAGCAGCCGCGGGGCTGTGGCTGCTCCATGAAACGCGGTCTCTGAACGACCGCGGGTCTGCAGAATCCAAATGCAAAATAAATAGGCATGCGGATCCCAATGCGATGGGACCAGGAAAGGCCTCCAGAAAGGCCACAGGTGGCGATCAAAGCATGGAACTCCAGGATGAGTTCCAAGTTCTGGAGTTCTGGGGCGGTTTCTAAACAACCAGGCTTCGAGTCAAACAATTCCAGGCGACCAGGGCTTGTGGCTCCAAAGCAAAAACAGACACCAAGAAAGTTGCAACGAAAAGTGGGCTTAAGAGTTTCAGGCTTTGAAGACTCAAGGAAATAGAATTGGCAATCAGAGTGTGGTTCCAAAGTTCGGGGTGAGAAGCTGCGACTGGGAAACCCTGACAATGATAGCTAGTCAGCTACCTGGAACAGAAAACCTCAACTCCAGTGCTACCCGAAGAATCCATAAAGAGCCGCGGCTGCTGCGGCAGCAACTCCGCTTCGGCGCTCTGAGCTTCCTCCAGCGCTTCCACGTACCGCTGCTGCTGAAACAGCCTCGGCCACCGAGGACGCGCAAAACGCGAGTTCACAACGCTGGCGACTCGCGACCTCCATGGTTGCACCGCGAGCAGTTCAAGGGAGGTAGAAACTCCCACCCTCTCTGTGCATGTCATGAGTATCCAAAGCTTATGGTATCATGTCAAGCCATGATTACCATTGAGAAAAAGCCCTCCAAAACCAGAGGATTTGGTAGATGTTCGTAGCCATACCCTTGGCACACCCAGAGGATTTGGTAGACTTTCGTAGCCATACTTTTGGGACACTGATTGCTGCGATGTAGAGTTGTTGTTTCTTTCATGCAGCGCTACACTCTCCCGTACCAGTTTTGTCCGCCTGGCCTTGTTCCTGCAATATCTGCAATACTAACTGCCTTTCTTTTCGCTCGCATCTGATTTTTCCACAGTATTCACCGCAAGGGGAGGTCAGTTTCAACTCCTTTCAGCCGCCTTAATTGTGCAAAGCACTAATTCCTTTCAATCTACATAATTACAGCATCTCACTCCCCATCCAGGTCCCTCATGAAGAGATTTAGTCTTTGGGGAATCCCCCCAAAACCCATGGATCAACTTTTTCAGAAGGGGTCTCAGTCTCAGACCCCCCGAAACACGAGACCTTCTCGGGGTTTTGTGAACCATGGCTCCACATAAAACCTTTATTAAGTTTGCATACCGCAGTCTCTATATGAAAAACTCTGGTTCGAACCCCGGAGCGAGCACCGAACCGACCCCGAAAAAGACGCACGGCGATGGTCTCAGGCAAAAAGCAGCTGGATCAGTGCCACACGTGGATACAAGAAACCCCTCTCCAGCTTGGAGGATGTCTTCAACCACTTCTCTGCCTTTCTCACATCACCGAGCCTGAAACAGATGGAACAGGAAGAAACACCTTTCATTGGCAAATGCACTTCTGATACGTTACGATTGTGCTTCAAACGTGGAGGCTAAATTCTGCTCATTTGATTCCGTTTCGCCTCACTTGAGGCCAAGGTTTGGTGACGAAAGCTAGCAGGGTCTGGAAACGAGAAGTGGTGAGAGGCATTGAGCATACAATATATATATATACACACACACACAAAGACCTGAAGCCGAGCAAGGGGCGTTGAATCCCGCAGTGTGTGGTGTAAATCGTGCTTTGGTGTAAACCGTGGTTTCGAGTAACCGCTGCTTGGTGTAAACCGGGGGTTGTTGCAAAGGGTGCGTGGTGAAAACCATGGTTTGGCGTACAAGCCAGGTGGAGGAGAAAGTTTCTGTGGAAAAAGCAGGTCATGAGGTATGCTACGAATTGATGGAAAAATGACGCCAAACGCAGGCAAAACATGGGCGACACGAGCGCAGAAACACAAGCGAAACGCAGGCGATGAGGGGAGGAGCAGCCTAGGACAAGGAACAAAGACGACAACGACGATGAAGGCGACACTCAAATGATCTATAGCTTTTGGTAGATTGTCCTCTCCAAGGCCTCGGTCGAAGGGGGAGGTTGACCCTGGCCAGGGAGGGGGGGTCTACACATGAATTGTTCACTGGGTAGGCCATTCCATTCCCCAACCAATGACTTGCTAAAGCAAGAGTAACTCCGGCTAGCTGACGCTGACTTTCATGATTTCTCCAAGCCGCAAATCCCAATAGCTTCGGCCACAGAAGTACGCAGCAGCGGAGCGCTGCTGCTCCTCTTCCTGACCTTTTGCATCATCACGGGATCTTCGCTGCAAGATCTTCACCGCCTCCCGTGCCAGCTCCTGCCGCTCCACATCAGACCCAAGCTCCATAGCGAGTTCATAGCGCAAGGCGCCAGCATAGTAGCTCAGGCGTGGGTGCCCCGGATAGTCTCGCAAATCCTCTCCCACCAGCCGAAGCTCCTCTCCTCATCTGCTTGCAAACGATGGCACTTGCAAGAAGGAAAAGCGGAAGAAACCGATGATCAAGCAGTCAAAATGGTCCTGCCTATTCGTTCTGATGCTTCCGTGGCTCTGATTCTCTTGTGCCGCTGCTGTGCATCCCGTACACTTCCAGTGACTTCCAGCACTGCCCAGCCAGTGTCACTCACCTGGTTCGGCACACCCGGATGGCCCTCGGCTCGCCGGTAGATGGGGCTCTCATGCACGCGGAACTTGAAATACCAGCGCCCATCGTTGCGAAAGACCTCAGTAGGCCCCACCAAGGTCTGATTCACCATAGTCCATAGTTCTATACTCTGACATGATGACAAGGACGCAGGGCCACAGGTGGCTGTGAGAAAATCCCGCAGATTCAACATCTAAAAAGGGAGCAGAATCAAAATGAATATGTTGAGACATTGTTGAGATGTTCAACCAGCGGCACAACAAACCCATCGATCTCAGGTTCCTTATCATTGACCCATCATCAGAGACCTGAGGTGCCTACCGAGTCGGCCAAGCGCTCTCCTGCAGGGTTCTGCTGCATCCATCAGTGTCATTTGGAACCCAGGGCCCCAGGGCCCCAGGGCTGCCGTCTCGGCGCGGGCTCAGTCCTCGAGACTCCTTCCCAGAGCGTCGGACGGCATACACGACCTCCCTCTGCCGCAAGGCAGAACGCTTGAAGGTCGTTGACACGGGGCGCATGTCAGGCTCAACCAGAAGGACATAGTCAATCTTCGGAAACCTCTGGTAGCTCTCCTGCATCGAGAGAATGCAAATATGAATGAGAGAAAAATCGAAACGAAATGCAAAACTTCCGAACATTTCACTCAGGGCGTGGGCCTGCTTGCGAAGAACATCAATCTAGAGGTCGCTTCGTTTCCCTTCTGAGTGAAACACACGAAAGCCAAACTGCAGCTGGCAGCGGCCCCAAATTCCTTCCAAGACTTGACGTGCCCCTCCAAACTCCTCCTCCCTTTGGGCTGCTCCATTCACGTCCCGTCTTCCCCGACGTGTTTCCCAACATGGTTCTCTTCGGCCTGCAAAAGTTGGGACTTGGCCGGACCGAAGCCAACGAAATCGAAGTGATAGACCTCCAGCTCCTTGGGCACCAAGAGCCGTCGTGCCGTGGCCTCCGAGCGGTCCTGGAGAGTAGGGGAGGCATGATGCTGGGAGATGCAGGGAGTATCTGATCTGAATAGTGCCCCTGGGTGGAATCCTTATTTCTGGAGTCCAAGCCAATGAGAAAGCAGTCGCCAATCTCGCGCCACAGGCTTAAATGCTGCTTAAGCAAGTGCTCCTCATCTCTCGACAGCATTGCAACCTGAGAGAGCGAGGACAGCCAATTTGGTCGAAGACCAACGAAAGCATTCAAGACCAAAGTGCTAAAAGAGAAGGTAGATCCTCGCCACCGGCCGCCACAGGCACAGAGGCCACAGACCACAAGGCAAAAGCCAAGCATCTGAAGGCCATCTGGGCCAGGCATCTGGGGTCAAAGGTTCAGAGAACGATCATGAGATCTTTGAGCCCACATGGTCGACATGGAGACTTGATAGACAAGACATCTTTCAATGTCCTTCGATCAGCTCAGTGCCAGGTGCATCTTAAGATGCAGCAATCCTAAACGGCATATATAATTGCATACTCACAATTCGGGCTCATCCGTTTACCCTAGCTACTAGCACTCCAGCCCGCCACCCACATGAACCACAAACACTGCACCAAGTGAACCAAACAAACCAACCAAAACAAAGGGAAGAAATCACAGTGATTCCTCTCTTTGCTTTCGGTTGATGGTCTTTGCCTGGTCACCTGGTCTGTGGGTCCCGAGATCCGGGCTAAAAGGAACCGAGGCTGCCAGCCCTTTTCAAGGCTCACACCTGGGGCCAGAAAGACTGACAAGGCCAGACTGGTCGCATCAGACGCATCTAGTTGTTCCGTACCACGTCCCCAAGGCATCTGAAATGCTTCATCTTCGAGGTATGACACATCGCCATGTTCGTGCGGGCGTGAGGCATGCAATTAGGCGAACAACAGTTCTTAGGAGCGCAACCCTCTTTTTCGAGCATGGCCCTCGCCATGTCGAGTGCAAAACATGAAGGATGAGCCTATGAGGGAGCAAGCTTCAAAAAGGATCGCACCTCAAGACTCTACAGTGCAGCAAGGAGCTAGGTTCTCCAGGCATAAATCAAATCACTGCTTCACGCGGCATGGCTGACAGTGCAGCTGTGTATTTGCCTGGTACGCATTTGTCGGCGCACTCCAAGGTCTCTCGACACTTGCTATGCACTGCACAGGAGCCGGCCTCAACAGCACAATGCAGTGCAGCACAGCTTTTGCTCGGAGGGAAGCCTGGGCAATGTACGCGCATGCACTCCATCAGAGATGCAAAGTGCACAGCATCCTCTGTCTTCGCCAGAGGTTCCGTGCAGCCCAGCTCGCACATGACACCCTGGCGGCAGCTGGAGGAGAAAAGGCACTTCGCCAGGTTGCTCGTACAGTTGCCCAAGACGCAGCTAGGGCTTGGTGACAAGGTCACCGCGTCCAACGGGCAGTTGCTGCTGATGCAGCTGAGGGTATCATCCACAGTGTCACCCAGCAAATCAACCTGTGCCCGCAGCATAGGGGTTTCCTTCCCAGTCACGATGCAGGCGCTTTTGTCTTTTCCTGCGAAACGTGCTTTGTCCAGAGAGACCTCGCTGTTGTTGAAGTCATGCTTTACTGGCTTGCAGCCCTCCTCACTCCCACCTTGGATTTCATAACTGTTTGGAACAATTAGAGACCAAGCATGACCAAGCTATACTAGTGGGACATGCCTGTCGCCTCCGCCAAAACTACCAGGTGGGGTGCACAACCTGCCAACCAAGCTACAGTAGAGGTTCCGGAGATTGCAGTAGTTGGTGGAGAAGTCCTTCAACGAGAAGACCTGCGACTCTGAGCAGGCATGAATGCCACAGCTAGGGTGACTCCCTGGGAAGTCGGAGAACGTGAAGATCATTTTGTCGGTGGCGGCAATGCCGAACTCACCGGCCAAATGTTTCCTGCCGTTACATTCCCTAGCATGGGTGCCCAATCGAGGTTTCTTCTCAATTTTGGCAAGAAAGGACCAAGAATGCCTTCAGCCGGGTTTCCGGTCACCCGCTCAAGGTCAAGCTCCATAGAGCTCTCACTCACCAAAGAGTAGGTGCCCCCGTTGTGTGGATCGTGCCAATCCCCGTTCACCCGGGCCTTGATCTCTTCCATCACATCCTGCCGAAGTCCGGTCATCTTTCGAGTAGTACGGCACGAGTTCGAACTTGCGTAGGCAAACCCCCAGCAGAAAAGCCACCACTTGGGTTTGTTTGCTTTTGAACATCAAATGACCCCAGGCATGAGGCCAATGCTTGTTCCTCTCCTGGCAGCTGGTGTCTGCCAAGGCTTCCAGCTTAGCCCATGCATGGAGAAAGCTCTTGGAGCCTGGGCACTTCATTCCCAGAGCGGGGACCAAAGCCACAGAGGCCAGCACACGGGCCAGCATGGCGAGGCGAAGTGAGTGAAATGAGCGAGGATATTCACCAGAAGGGACTGAGCCAGCTGCGGGGCCGTGGCGAAGTGAGTGGCGATGGCCCAAAGTTTGCAAAGGCTTCGTCTGTTTCAACTCCTTGGATTCCAACACCTATATAACACAACTCTCAGGCCCAAGCAGCCAGTTTCCTCAAGACCTCGGTTCCACCAGGTCGAGACGACGCCAGGTCTGCTCGCCTCTTCACTGGATTGACACCTTTTGAACCTGAGGACTCTTTGACGTATTTGTTGGATTTTTGGATCCATCTTTCATGAACGTTCGTCGCTGAGAGCGGTGCCTGACAGGAAGCTATGATCCAAGAATGGCGAGTCCTCTGGTCCCAAGAGCTCCTTGGCGCCAAGATTGGCCAAAACGTCCATTGGCTTCGGACACCATCTCAGGCAAATCTCCTGGTCGCCTTGGTCCCATCTTCGTGTCGGCCCACACATCCATTTGACCTCGCTGGCCCTCGTCGGGTCCATGGGCTGGGTCGCTCGCCTCTGCACTCGACGAGGCAAGAAGTCACCCACAGCCTTCGGCCTCCAAAACCGCCGAAGTCGGCCCTGTACATCTGCACAGCCAAAGGCAAAAGCGAAGCCTTCCTATGTTGCACAGGAAGCACTTCTGCATGGGCTCTGATGCTGCCCAAGACAAGGAAATCTTCAAAGATCACTGGATTCGCTGAAGAAGCTGATGGGATTGGCTATTAAATTACTGTCACCTGTCCGCTCTTGCCATTTCAGTTACACCTAGGCCGCTAGGCCGCTAGGCTGCTCCATCCAGTGACCGCGCTCCCGGATCATCCGATGTACTTGGCGGACCCTGCAGCATGAACCACTCGAACTTTAGAGGTTCGTCGCCAGTCGAAGCCTGTCGCTTTCTCAGACATCACCTGGCTGTCGACGCGAACCCTTCGCAACAAACAAAGGAAAGCCACAGGGTCACGGGATCATACTCAGCCTTTGGAATCGATTCTTCGGCCCCAGCCCACCCAAAATACAAGAGCCTCTGGACGCTCCCCATACATCCGCCAAAATTGACTTCAGCCCCAGGAGACTGAACCCAGGAGCATGAACCCAGTGTCAAGGTAAGTTGCATAGACATCGCCATGATGGACCTGCCATGATCAAAGCTGGCGTGATTGATGTGAAAAAAGGTCACTGAACACCACCAAAAACAGAAATACAACAAGGTCACAGAGGAAAGCACTCTCGTTGTCATTCGTGTTGTCACTCACGGAACTCCCAAGAAGATCACAGCTCGTAGGCAGGGCGCCCATGACCATTTTTTTTCACGGACAAGTCTAGCACCTCTAGCACCACGACGAAGTCTTTCTAGAAGAAAATCTCACACCTCTCACGCACCGCCACAGGCTGAAGAGTGCCTGGCCTCGATATCCACGGAAGGCCCATTCTCGGAGGAGCCTGGCATCCGCCAGCAGTACCGAAGAGTCGAGCTGCAGCCCAAGCTCCTGGGCTCTTGTCGAGAGGACTCCAAGGACCGGTGACCAAAAACAGTTGTCCTGCTGAGGAGCCCCTAGTAGCTTCATGCTACTAGTAGTAAGGCCAGGAGCCCCTAGTAGCGTCCTTGCTCCTAGTAGCGATGCCAGGAGCCTGCCTCTAATAGCTTCTTGCTCCTAGTAGCGAAAACAGTTGTCCTGCTGATCACTGAGTCACTGCTAGTCTTGAGCCTATTCAATGTGTCCCATCGCGGTCTGACTTGCATGCCTGCCTCCCTGCAGAAGAGTCAACAAACAGTCCAGCTGGAACAAAAAAACAAAGGTAGCTTATCTATATGAATTCTGTCTAAACAAGGTCTATTGATGCCAAGGCTCAAGCAAATCACAATCCTCAAACGAGTTCGTCTCAGAAGCCCTATCCAATCCCCGCTAAAACAGCTCCAGCAGAACAATGGTAATGATTCCTGTATGTTAATGTGGAATCTTGATTAATTACTAAACTTGAGGCCGAGGGTAGGTGACGAAAGCTAGCAGGGGTGCATCCGGACCGGTGGGACATCAAGTGGATTGAGGCAAATGCTCATGAGGTAAAACGTTGTGAACATGTAAGACACACAAACAGCAATGACACAGCCAACCTTAGAATTGAAGTCCCCGATAATTAAGGAAGCGTGGCTGGACTTTGCCACACTATTCGATGCATCCGATGTGTTTACGAACCAGTGAGCTTGTTGAATCTGTTGCACCGTATCCCAAAACCTCCACGGAGGAGTTGAACCAAAGTGGATGCGATAAGAGGTGCCCAAGAGGTGTCCCAGAGGCAAAACAAAGCTGCTTGCATGATTTACTTGGTTTCTTCTATCAATGTCGATGTCATGAACCTGTGAGCTTGTTGAATCTGTTGCACCGTATCCCGGAGGAGTTAAACCAAAGTGGATGCCATAAGAGGTGCCCGAGAGGTGTCCCAGAGGCGTCCCAGGGGGGAGTTGAACCCCTCACTTGCTAAAGCAAGGACAACTCCAGCTAGCTGGTGCTAGCTTTCGTGACCTCCTCCATTTGGATTGTAAAACCTTTTGGAGGGGTTATTCATCAAGATTCTACATTTCTGCATGATCAACAGCTGGCGGGCATGCTGGGCCATTGTCCAACCCAAACTTTCAGCCTACTTGCGTGAAAAAGGACACGGCTTCACTGTGCAGACCAGAAGCTTTCTCTCGCTGTCCCCGTGAAATCCGATGCCCGTCGACGCATCGAAATCTCAGCCGTCGCTCATCCGGTCGAAAGGTGGGAAATCCAAAGGTCCGACTCCAAACCTCGCCAGACTGCGTTAATTCCTAGTAACAAGAGGACGCTACTAGGGGCTCCTGGCCTTACTACTAGCAAGGACGCTACTAGGGGCTCCTGGCCATACTACTAGTAACAAGAAGCTACTAGTAGCGATGCACTTGTTACTAGTAGCTTCTTGTTCCTAGTGGTAATGGCCTCCAACCTACTAGGGACGGCCTCCAACCTAGAAGCCTTTGGTTGATCTGGAGACGAGTGGCAATGATTGCCCTCGGCACAAAGACCCTCAGCTTTGGCACCCAGCCTGGCCATAGTCACTGTCATAGGCTGAAGGAGAGCGAGGAATTGTTCCAAAGTGCGGCAATCTGTCAATGTCAGTGCCTCTCTGTCAGTGCTGCACGAAAGGCCGACAAATGCGGCAAGCTTTCAAAGGCCTGCACCTGGTCTGAAAGCCAACTCCCCTCTCCCCTTGAGCGCATTCACTGAACTGCAATCCAAGGAGCTGTGTACCTGAAGTCGGCACAACATGTCCAAACGGAACGAAATTGGGGCAGAGTCATCTGATATTTCTGATATTGGTTGCAAACCAGGCGCTGCTTGTAGTCCTTGGCTGTCCAAGAATCAAAGAAATGATCCAACTGCGGCATGTCCAAAAGTTGATGCTCTTGGGCCCACCCCTCCAGCCAATTTGCCAGGATCCGTATCAAGTTCAATTGGATTGAAGGATGCAGCTTAAGGGCCTGAAAAAAACGACGAACTTGGCCCAAGCGCCTTGGCACACCCCGTCACTTCTGCGTCAAGCTTCGGGGCTTGGCTCTACCCCCTGATCGCCGAAGACGAGGTTGTGTCGAGCTCGCTTGTGGAGGGTCTTGGACCGCCGTGCGTCCCAAAACTTGCTGTCATACAGGAGCGCCTGGGTGAAAAGTTTAAAGAAGAAAAAAATCTCATGCGAAAAGGGGGGTGTTCATGTATGCATCGATATTATATATACAAACTATACAATCACTCTATCTATATGCACGCACATACATATATCATTCAGACACATCCATCCACCACGCTCGTTTCAAAGTCATTCAGCTGTAGATACTTTCACGGTATGAGGATGAAAGCCAGCTTTGCTTTAGACGGATGCTAAATGGCATCGGGTACTACACTGGCTGTTGCTTCGACGTCTCCTGCCAAACCTGTGATCCATCTAGGGCCAGCAAAGCCTTTCACTATCGGCTGGCCTTCTGTTCTTGAAGTCATTGGCTGCGCCCTTGCCCAGAAACACCTTACATCTGAACTGGGCAGGCCATGGCTTACAAACGGGAATGCCTCATGCCATTGGCAGGGGAGGGTGCACCCTTCCGACTCTATCCAATAGCAAGGTGCCAACACAAATTTAGACCTTTGATCATTCCAGCGAACATCAAGACCAGGTGGCTGATGCACCATTCCGGATGACCAGCGTGGCCGCTTCATTCTCTTTCCTCAGCTCCTCTGGCAGAACATCACTCAAGGCCACCAGCTCCTGGGCATCGATTCCACACCAAATGGGTCATGGTGGTCAACCCGCTGTCCAGGCAGAATGGACGGTCCATTTCCACATCTGAGAAGGGGGGGCCGGGGACACCATTTGCACATCTTCGGGTGGCCTGGGCAAGCTCTGCACTCAGAAATCCCTAGCAGAAGCGCTGCGTCGCGTTTTGTTCCAATTCGGTAGCGACATTCTTGAAGTATACTGTGGGAGCTTCGTGAAGGGTCTTGTTGTGAGGCATGGTCATGGCTTTTCAAAGCGCAAATCATGTGGACATGTTTGTCTTGCTTGTGGGGCTGCTGAAGACTCAAGAAAAGGGGCAGGTGGGACAAGAACATCTGGATCTCCAAAACCAAGGGCAAGAATTCTCACAAACCCGAAGACACAACTCCCTTCTCCCGCTTCTTCCCTCCCAGGGCACTGCATTCGGAAGGCCTTGGGCCACTGCCACGAGCTCCGGCACCGTAAAACCGCCGAGCGCCCGGGGGGCGCCGAGCTCCCTGCCACCTGGTGCGACGGTCCGCCCGGGAGGCCGACCGGAATCCATTGGTTGTTGAGTCTTGAGTGGCCGGACCTTCGAACTTGAACATGCCAGGCTTGAACTCATTGCCAGAACCAGTTAGACCGGGGGCTAGGCGGCTAGGCTGAAAATCTAAAAGAGGCAAAACCGATGCAGAACCACCCCATGTCTGAGGCTCTGATTGATCACTCCCATCAGACATTGGTGGCATTGGCCTTTAGGCTCATTTAGGTGGGTGATTTTGGGTGCCTTATTGATTGGTCTTGTGGGCTCCTCGCAACCAGGCTTTTCTCAAAGGCATCTTGCATGAAAATGCCTCGCTCCTCTCTGCCAGCAAAACATGATCTGGCCATGTGGCTGTCACCCACAACAAGCGTGCCACCCCAAACTCCCCTGTAAAGGAACAATCCACCAAAACCCACAGATTCCGGGTCTGACTTGTTTGGAGTCACACCCTCGCTTCGATGTCCGGCCTATATGAAGGAGTGCCACCTCCCCAAAGGTGATCGCATACCGAGACGCCTCATCCTCCACAGGGCGCTTCTTCAAGCAAACCTGCCGAGTCACTCGGGATGAGTACTTCCGTCTTCCCGACCTTTAGAGTGACGGAGAAACGAGACTTGTAGAGTGATGGCAAGAAGTTTGACACCACGTCCCTGACGCCAAGCTTGCCTCACATCCTGTCAAAAGCACTATCTTCAGGAAACTGGCGCTATCCCATCGAAACGTTTGCTTCGTAAGCCTTATGTGCCCCTGCACAGAACGCAACCGCAGCAAGAGTGAGAGAGGGGCACACGCGATTTCACTCCATCCATGGATGACTTAAGTCCAACAAATCCCCCGCCTTGTTGGTTGACATTTGGGGGCGCAGAAAGAGGCTCAAACGGCTGAGACAGGACAAAGCTCCAGCTGCTCAAACTGAGCATCTTTCAAAATCGGAGTCATCCCTGATACTTCTGGCATGAGGAGCAGAACATGAAGACCAACACAACGGACTGAGATGCTTCTAACTTCTAATGACCAAGAGCCCCACATTCCAGAGAGATGCCGGCAAATAGGCCCTCTGTCCTGTCGCCATGGGCTAATGATTTGAAAAACGCCAATCATGCATCTCTTGGTTGTTTCAGAGCGCCAAAAAGACCGGAAAGGCTAAGCTGGCTTTCCGGATCCACATCTGTGTCTCCTTCGGGTGCTCAGCTGGTCCAGCCCCTTTCTTCCCTTCGCTCCCCCACCTCTCAAGATCTGGATGGAGACACTGTTCTCGCCGTCCTGCCGAGGCCGAAGAAAGACCCAGGCAAGGACCTAAATGACCTCAAAAAAAGAACTTTTGCCTGTAGAAAGCGGGATGCCTATCTGTACTTATATTATATATATATATATTGGTATTCTAAAATATGTTTTTTCCCTACTCTTTTATGTGCTACACAAATGTACACACTCTCCAATAGCAAGGTTCCTTCAATGTTTCTTAATCACCAAGTTCTTAAAACGTATTCCTTTTTGTCACTGTGCAACTCTGAAGATCCACTTTGGGCAACTGCGACTGTTGCCGCATCGGCTGGAGCGAGGAAGTGCACGCTATGCCCGTTTCAATGGGTCCTTCATTATAACTGAAGCATCTTGAATCGCTTCTAGTTCGATCTCGGAGAAGTCATATCAACAATGGCTCGAACCGGCAGAAGACAATATATACATCGATTTGGTTTCTGGGCTCCACGGTGGATCGAACCTCTCCGTTCAATCTGACGGACTGAAAGCTCTTACTCCTCGATCCCACCCGGGTCTGCAACTAGCATCTCTTGCTTCATGGTGGTGCTGATCTCAGGCATCTTGTCACCCTCAGTGGCTTGACGATGTCTGCACACTGAAAGCTAGATTTGCACTGGACACACAACACCCCCAAACACACTTAGAAACCTTGATTTTGGGGTTTTCACAGGGCTGGGTGGAAAGTGTGCTGTCACAAAGGTTCAAGTGCATGTGTCATACATAGCTAGCCCATGTGCAGCATGCCACGACCTATTCTTTACAACTATCCAACCACTGACCAAGTTCCTTTCAAATCCGAGCTTTTTCAGTCTCAACCTTTCTGAGCCTCTTCTGCCCTAAGAAGCACCGCGGCTGAACCATCTTCAGCCGAGCGACTCCCTTCATGAAGGGGTAGGCCGAGTCCGGGCTTCCGCGGATCCGCACCGCTTTGGCCCGAAGCGTCCCGGTCTCTGCGGAGGTAGTGTCTGCACGGCCTCGGCCCGAATGCAGCCCTCCAGACGTCCACATTAGGAGGTGGATTTTCGGGTGCAACCAACGTATAGGGCGATGAACCAGGATAGATTGAATAAACTGGGTCTCTTTTCTTTGCAGCAGTGAAATTCAAAGACTCATTGGTAGCGTCGAAGCGTTTGGATCAAACAAAATTAAGTCTGAATTGCTGCAAACCTGAGACCAAAGAAACAGTGTGCTGAGTGCTGATCTCCACTTTCCCTCATCCCCATCGTTGCCCACCTTGCTCTGTCTGAGAGGTGATCCAGAGATGCGCGGGACCACTCCCCACGACTGCTCCATATACAATCATCACCTCTTCAGCCCCGAATGTCTTCAAGGGACTCCCTGTGTGCCATTCTTCAGCTTCAAAGATGTTAAGGCACTTGACAAACAACCCATCTGCCTGCTTGTTGACAAAATTTTGGTCAGCAAGCTCAAAATCCCATCCCCCTACACCAGGATCCACACCCACTTACAAAACACTATTAGCTCCCTTTGGTAGGTGGCTAATCACTATCCTCCCGGCTCCACTCAAAAACTACCTCTACCCTACCCTACTACCTGGGCCCCATTGCTTGCATCCATGACACGCTCGGGCGGTACGATGTTTTGGGGGAACTCTTGCGCCACACTGGCGCAGCTGGCGCCCAGCTCCTCATGGAGCAGCGAGAGCTCCGGTGGCTCAGGCACCTCAGTTTGACGGGCACCGGTGGTGTCCAATGGCGTTGGAAAGAAGGGAAGCGGATTGGAAAGTGGTGAGGGGCTCACAAACTATTGGTTTGGATGTTTTTAATAAAATGATTTGACTCTCTCTCTCTCTCTCTCTGTGGCGTGTCTGGCGGGCATGTCTCACAGAGACACCCAACTGCAACTTCCCTGTAGAAGAATGAAGGAGCGGGGATAGTAGGGCCGTCCACGCTCAACTGGCAACTGTGTAGTTCTTCTCTTTCTTGCTCAGCTGCCGCAAGGCGTTTGGCGTTTAAACCTCTGAGGGGCCTAAGATGGATGGCTAGATAAAGAGGTTTTTGTTTCCTGACATCCTGTGTCACTCCACCATCGGTACACATGCAGCTGCCGACACCAAGGCACTGGGAGCAGGTGGAGCACCTGTGCACAGGTCCAGGGCGCTGTTTTGAGGCAACGACCCTATGGTTCATTCGGTCGGTTGCAGATGGCTTTTCCAGCCTCGAGGGAGGAGTATAGCGCTGAGTTCCCATACGAAAGGTCCTCCACCTGACTTCAGGCGTCAGAGGTTGAAACCAAGCCATCATGAAGAAATACCAAGCAAAAGAACAAGGTCCATCGAATTGCCATTGCCACTGCTTTCCCTCCCGTTAGGAGAAGGACTGGGCCAAAGAAGCCCATGGACTCCGAGACGATGAAGTCGATCTGCTGCAGAATAGCGCTCACAGCCTCGGGGCGGCGCTCGCGGTGATGGCTACTTGTACTGCATGTGATTCATTTGTACTGCAAGTGTTCGTCTAGATCCGCAATTGAGCTTGGGGCAGAAGTAGAAACCAGAGTGGGGCCATCCCTTCCCCCCACCCCTCGTTTGGAGACAGCCCAAATGCTTAGAATCTTTCAAGACGGCCCATGCGAGCTCAAAAGGTGTTCAATTGGACCACTGTCCATGGGCCCTCAATTCGCACAACCACTTTCGTCTCCAAGTGACATTCTCGGCTCTGGACTTGGCAGCTTCATCATCATCGATCAAGACCACCTTCGTTGCGGCGGCATCGCTGCTTGAGAAGTCCAAGGCCACCTTGCGCCTGGCGAATCGTGCTGCGTGTGGTTATCATGCAAGTGTACAGTAGAATGTGGCAAATATAATCCACCAAAAAGAACATGAGATGGTGTGTCTCTTAGAACATATTTCCTTGGTTTTGTTGAGGCGCACATCTCAAGCCGTCGGTGTGCTGTTCTGAGCATGTTAGGACTCCACAGATTCAACACGTGTCTCCATTCTTTTCGCCTTGACACGTCTGGCAGTCGCAGCTTTGAACGATCATCGGCAGAGAGCCTCGTCCTGACAGGCATGGTGACTCTGCTTGGGACGTTCGACCTGGACCAAAAAGCAACAAAACCCCAATCCTGGGCTTCAAAAAAGGCACCCTCTTGCCATTTTCCTCAGCTTGAGCAGCCGAAAGCTGCTCTCAGGTCTGGAGTTGGGTTTGCTCTGAATCGGCCGATGACGGTTTAGTTGGCATACGGTATGTTAAATGACAGGTATGCTGCTATGTACAGGTCCTTGCCAAAGAAAGTGGTTTACAGTGTGTCCTTCACATTGATGCTTGGCTGAAACAGCCTCTGACTTGCAGAAAGGACTCCGACATCGTCAGGGATTGTGCAGAGACAAAGGGGTTGTTCTCTCGGCTTCCCTCAAAGAACTTGCACCCTTCCTTTGAGCACAAGACTTCTGGCCTCAGCTGTCTTGAGCGGGATGGGACATGGTGCTATGCCCACCCAAATCTCAAGGAGTTTGAAGGATTCGTGGTCTGACATGATCACAATCCTGCAAGGCTGTGCAGACTGGGTCCTCGCATGATTCGGAGGCTGGGCTGTCACCCAATCCAAGGAGCTTGAGCCCGCTGTCTTCACACTTCTTGGCAATCTCTTCTAGGCCCTCGCCGGCCATGCAGACGGGTATCTTGCCGAAGCCATTGCATCTGTCAATATGGTTCAGCCCAGAGCCTGGAAATGCTCAGGTCACCAGGGCACCCAAAAAGGTCACTGGTGCAGCTGCCACACACAAATGCAGTGCGAGCAATCATCCTTTAAAAGAAAAAGAGCTAGCAAGGGTGATCCTGGTATGCTGGCGATAGCATGTTTCTGCAGCAATTCTCGCACGCTACCTTGGACACGAGCAGCATTATCACTTGCAAGGGCAGCAACACAAGTGAATCTTCTTGTGTGACAAGACGTTGGCACAACCATACGCAAATCTAGTCCAAAGCTCTCCGGCTTGAACTTCTAGATGGCAACCTTGAGCTGGTGGAATCAAGCTGATCAACTGACTGGGCATTTGGTGCGTTTGTTGCGAGTGCGCCTCTCAAACTCAGAAGTTCATATGTGCCAAAGTCGGATCGAAAAATTGCATTTTGATGAGTCGTTTTTTAAAAGAGACTTCCAATGGACGTGCAGGCAAGAGTCTGGTCTAGGCACTTTGCGGGAATGATGTAGTCCCGCGTCCCACCAGCGGAAACTCTTAGCAAAGAGTCTAGGTCATTCATATACTCCTCCTGTCTCGAGACACTGGGGCAAACTGTTTGAGTCTTAATTCTGCCACAAGAAAGCCACGTCCTTCCAAGCACCATGGGCGCTTTCTGGTGGCCTTGGCCGTGCTCAGACTGCGAGATCCTCTTGGGGCACTTGCTTCTCTCTCTCTCTCTCTCGCGTGCGCCACCCAGGCCTCTGCTCCCGCCTTGGCTCCTCTGTGTGGCCATTAGCTCGGGCGAGCGTGGGTACGTGCAAACCAGGCCACATGCACCTGGGAAAGCCAGCATTGTCCAAGTCCGATTCGCCCCTGTCGCCTCCAAAGGTCTCCACAAGCTTCTTTGAATTTCTGGAGGATGACCAAAAGGACCCTAGATTATCCACCTAGATCCGCCTTCAGTTCCCGGCCTGCACCCTGCGTGCAGGGTAAGAACGCGCCGACGGCACTGGAACCAATAGCTGCAAAGCAGAAAGTCCAAGGTTCCTCCCTTTCCGCGAGCACATGTGACCCCCTGTCCAGGCGCGAAGACTTGAAAAAGCAAAAGCCATTCAGATCAGCGAAAATGGTCCTCATCCGGTGTCCATCTTTCCAACCTCAGGAACCGAAATCAACACTTGCCCTGCCGCAGCCCAGCTAGTTCCGTGAAAGCAACAGATCGCACGATGCAACCGTGTCATCGCCTGTCGAGACCTGACAGGAAATCGAGGCTCACCCTGAAAAGGCGGAGTTGGATGCCCTCCTGCAGCGACAAAAGAGAGAGCGCAGAGAGTTGCTGAGAAAAACACAGGCACAGGTGGCAAGTGGAGAATCAATGCAGGCGAGTTCCTCCTCAGTCAAGCCCTGCAGCGGTGGATGCACTGCAAATTGTGAAACAAACTCCTACAAACCTTGCAACACAAGCAAAGCAACTCCCAACTGGCCAGGGGCCATGGGAACCTTTCACTCTCTATACTGAATGGACAAATTTGTTGGAACTGTCATCGAACCTTCAACAACTACAGTATTTCTATGTCCGCTATTGTCCTTGTGAATGTGTTTTCCTGATTCACTTGAACGACCCAACATGGAGGAGGAACACCAGGAAAACTGTGGTTTGCATTGGCACCTTGTTGCTTGCCGGCGCTCTCAAGTCTCGCAACAACACACCAAATAAGTGTTCCACCTTAGCTGCAAGAACCGACATCAGCACCATCCTCACAATGAATTCCCAACCTCTTTTATCATCTTTTGCCTTTGCGTGAAGCCGTTTGCGGAACAGGCACCTGGCAATCCAGGCGGGATAAACTCAAACGCATCACAACACATCTATGCCACGTTGATTCTTGAGAACCTGCACTTCTGAACTTCCTGCCTAACCCTTCCGCCAACAACAGCCGAACTCCCTGTCGAACACCGACCACCTGTACAGGGCAAAATTAGGGCGAACAACCTGCAATTTGGCCGCAACATCAACACACACCATCCTTGAGGCTGTCACACAAACCAGCCCATGCCAGTGAAGTCACCCAGGTTTCAAAAAGAACACATCAAAAACATGTGCACCTCTTGAGCCAGCCCTTCGAGGATCTCCTCACCTCAAAAGCAAAAGAACACGTTTACATAAACCAAAACAGGAAAACTTTGCCACACAAACAAACTCCAATATGAACCCTTTTGGCGTAAGTGCCTGGACCCCACGGGAAGTAACAACGGCGGTGCCCGTTTCGTTGCCTCCAGCTTGTCGAGTGGTCTTGCCTTTCGCGCGGCACGCGCTTGACCTGAAACAATTTCAGAAATGAAAGACTTTGATTGGTGTGGGGAGTCAGGGGTTCAACGGCCATCGCTTGCTGCACATGATTGTCCGCGTGGATCTTCTTCATGCTGCCCATGACTTGCAAACATGCCACAGAGCCCGAATCATGTGCTGGCCAAGTCGAAAATGCTACACTGGCATAGACTGCATAGGCCCCAGGTAGCAACTAACTCAAACGGAACCACATTTTTCCTTGCCCACCTAGCCCGTGAGACAAGTAGGAGGACATGTAAGAAGACAAGGCAGCAGCGGCACAGCAGCGGCGAACCAAAATGCCGATCACACGGGCAAACAAGTGGGGGAAACATGTGAGGAGACAAGTGGGGAAATCAGGCAGCAGCGACACAGCAACCGCATGGCAAAACGAAAGACAGGCACCCAGTCATTGAAAAGTAAGAACCATGTGCTGGCCTAGTTGACACTGCAAAGTCAATAGCAAGTAAATCACATGTTCGAGGTAGCTCTCACAGGGCCACCTCCGCTGGGCCAAATAACGGGCGCATGCTACTGCGGTGCCACCAATGATGGCAGATTGTCCTCGCACAAAGCTGACAATTTCATCCAACACCCGTGGCGGCCAAACAAGCCTCTGCAAACATGTGGCTGAGGAGCCGCCACCTTGCAGCAAAGCTGCTGGATGCAGCACAACGACATACTGTTGTTAATATTATTAAGCCACTCAACTAGGTCGCGCACGGAAGTGGATGGACGCGAATGAACTATCAACCTCTCAAAAACGGATGTTCGAATAAGCTTGTTTTGCGCCAACAATTTCCACTCGGCTTGAGGCCGCGAATGCCCCACCAGCGGGCCTTGGTGACACCAAGCGCCAACCAACCCAAGCACATGAGCAACCGTGCCTGCTTCAATGGGCAGCATGTGGACAAGGGCGGCGCTAGCCACCGCCCAATCCCATAGCCCTTCTGATCCGAAATTGTCATGGATTCACCCCCAGCGGAGCAAAGGTGACCGTTCGCGTTCGTCGTTGATAGTGAGGGCATCCGACCAAGCCAATTTGTTTTCATGACAAATGTAGCACACAACGATCCTGGGCCAAGTCGTTTGGTTGCAAATACATGGCCGTAATCAAGTTTGCAACTACGCAACCCACAAATCTGCAAATATATAAATAGGGTTTGGCTCCCAATTCCTCACTTGAAGTGATTCTTTTTTGCTGGAGCAGGGAACCCATAATGAACTGATTGAAAGACCGATTGCAGCATTAGGCAAAAGGAATGAACCTTTTTACGTCAATTTCGATTGGTTTACGAAGGGCTGGTTCAAATTCAGCGGGGGCCAAGGGTCAAAACAAATTGCAACTGAAAGCTAGTTCTGCCAGTTTCAATCTGAGAAGCTGCAAAACGAAAGCTGGCGTTTTTTGTCCACGAGCACGTCTGTGGTGAAACAAGGTCTTTGAAGTATGTCTTTCCACTTCAATTTCCCCGAAACCCCCTTCTTACTCAGTTGGCGCCTTGCCAGGTATAGATACCCAGGCTAGCTACAATTCAGCTACCAAGAATAGTACTTCAAGTTCCCTTTCCGTCAACCGCCCGATAACCTTTCCACACGCACGGCAGTCACAGCTTTGAAGTCTCATTCGTGCTTTGAACTTATATAGGTGTGCGAGAGGTATAGCAACATAGCATTTATACGGACCCAGGGTAGCTACAATTCTGTTGCCAGGTATAGCACTTCAAGCAACCGAAGACAATTGCATTTCTTAAAGTCACACAAAAAGCACCTCCCAAGCTTGCTTCCGTGCACCCCTGCACACCACCTACTTTCGAGTGTCCTTTCTCAGGCCACCCCACCGAAACCCCCTTCTTACTCAGCTGGCGCCTTGCCAGGTATATAGAGATACCCAGGGTAGCTACAATTCAGTTACCAAGTATAGTACTTCAAGTTCCCTTTCCGTCAGCCGCTCGATAACCTTTACACACGCACAGCAATCCACAGCTTTGAAGTTTCATTCGTGCTTTGAACTTATATAGGTTTGTAAGAGGTATAGCAACATAGCATTTATACCCTGGGTCCATATGAATGCTATGTTGCTATACCTCTTGCACACCTATATATATATATATATACAAGTTCAAAGCACGAATGAGGTTTCAAAGCTGTGGATTGCTGTGCGTGTGTTAAAGGTTATGGAGCGATTGACGGAAAGGGAACTTGAAGTACTACACATGGCAACTGAATTGTAGCTACCTGGGTGTATATGGCGCCAGCTACACCTTCCCATTCGGATGATGCAAATGACGCAACCACCCCCTCAAAAATCACAAAAACTCAACCTCAAAACCTTACTTCCGCACACCCCTCTCCCCCACCTAATTTCGAGTTTACGTGGTACTTTCTCACAACTCAGCTGGCGCCTTCTACGAAGGCTGGCTTCCGTGATCAACACGGTACCAAAAACAAACACTTCATGATGGCGGTTACACTTTAGTGTGCGGGAATCTTGGCACGACATGGACAAAGGGCGAGAAAAGGATACATTGTTAATGACATACGTTTCCATGGTTTTTCCTTCCTCTAAATTTCCCGTCGCGGTTGGTAAATGTTGTTTTTCCTCTGTAATTGTTCCCCTCGGGTGGCTCAAGGGACCTATGCTACGCTGCTACGTTTCTACGGTTTTTCCCCTTCTCAACTTTTGGCTCGGGTGGTTCACAAAAATTATGCTACATTGGAACGGTTCGTTTATCTTTCCTCTGAATGTTACCTTTCAGGATCTTCAGGTGGCCCCAAAGGGGGTTCTTTCCTCCAAATGTTGTTCGCAGGTGGCTCACAAAAGCTGTGCTACATGTTGGGTTCCCCCTGCAAGTTTTGCCCTTCATCACAAAGATCAGCCATGCCCCCACGCCATGTGCAAGGCGGCCAACCTTCATTTTAAAAAACAAATTGAACCCGAAGTTGGTGAATCCACCTGAGCTTTGTCACGTGGATCAGCACTGTGGATTCAACATGACATACACAAATCCGTAGAAAAAAAAGGCAATGGAAAGTGGAAAGTGATGAAGTGGCCACAGTCGAAATGACGGAGGCCGATGAACAATTGTCAACGAAGCAGACCGGTCTGGAATTATGGCGCAGAATGCGCGCGAGAATTGGGCCGGGAAACAAGCACACACCATTTGCCTGGTTGAGAGCTCTTTCGAATCCCACCGTTGCACCGAAAGAAAGTCAATGGCAGAGAGGGTTGGAAGGGTGGGAAGGTGAGATTGCGAAGTACGAAAGGGAACACACAAAATCTGAGTGTCGTGCAACACCACATTTGATGTCATGTGATTTTCGATTAATGTTTCCATGTGTGTGGCCATTTAGGGCCCTTGAGCTGTCAGAAACGTGGCACGACCCTACAGGTAGCGACCTTCGCTTGGACGAAGAAGGTGCGGACTTTGTGTGCTGTTCACCTTCTACAGCGAGATTGGTTGCGGAGCTGGAGGCGATCCAGCTTGAGGGCTCCCACGGCACCCTACTTGGTTGAGGCGCTCTTCGTTTTCCTTCAGGAAATCGAGGGTAAGATCGTCACCCATGTCAGGGGCAGAGCGTGGAAGCCCCAGGAGGACCGGAGAGCCAGGACGACTATGCCTGGACCATCGGGACAGTACAAATCCCACAAACTGGAAGAGGACTGTCGAAGGACCAGCAATGCAGCTTCCCTTCAC